TCTAAGCTATCAATCAGACAACAGAAGGCATGGAGTAGATTGTGTGCGACGGGTTTAACAGCAAAGTTTTGATCATGTTGATCATTTAGAGGCCTTAGAAACTTCTATTAACCCTTTAAAGCCTCCTGTATCGTATTTAGTGCATAAAATGTCTTCAGAATGTCTTTTTTCTTCCATAAAAGAACGCAAGTTTTGTGGGTTTGGAGCAAAATAAAGGTGAACATTTTTCCTATGAGAGCTTGATAGAGAGATGGAGGGAGATCCAAGTGAACGAGGAGACCGAGAGCGTGCATGAACAGAGAAACTGAACTCCTCTCTCGCTCGTTTAGTTCTCACTAAACATACCCTCCTTTCGTTTTCCTTGCGTTGATCCAAATCCCTTGCTATTGTATCTGTCCTCTGCCAGAATCTCTCCACCCAGCTCAGAGAGTATTAGAGAGCGGGATGTGTTGGATCAGCATGGATGACGGCTGGGGACAGGGCTGGGACACGGACACAATACTGTAAACAGAGATTTAGAGGAGTTGGGAAGGACTGGTGTTTGACTGGCCAGAGCGAGCGAGAGAGTCTGAGGGAGGGATGGAGACACAGCTGTGTTTGGACTAATAACACTCTAACCTGCTCTGAAAACGTCAGGCCTTTGTGACCACACTCACACCTGGAAGAGCTGCACTTACTGCTTTTTAGTTATGCACATTATGCAAATGTACTGGATGCATACTATTCCCATAAAACATGTGCAGGAGATGCTTTCCAGAAATATTGCACACTTTGGTGTCGAGTTACAGTTTTATTTTTCTGTCTTTAGAGGCACAAATCCCTTGTTGGATTAACAAGCTATGAAAAACAGCTTGCACATTAAATGTGTTGACTGCGGGAGTTTATATTCCACAAGTTTTCTTGCATTTATATCTCACAACTCATATCATGCATTTCAGAATCTTGAGTTTATATCTCACGATTCAGACTGTTTTCTTGGAATTCTGACTTTTCAGAATAATATGTAATTGCTATTTGAAGAAAAAAGAGAATTGCAAGATATAAACTCAGAATTCTGATGTTCTTTTTTCCAAATCTGAGTTTATATCTTGCAATTGTACCTTATATCTTGTGATTCTGAATGTATATCTCGCAATTCTGAGTTTGTGTCTTGCAATTCTGTCTTTATTTCTCACAATTCTGTTTATATCTCACAATTCGTAGTTTGTATCTTGCAATTCAGTCCAAATTCTGAGATTTAAACTCAGAATTTTCTAGAAAAAAAGTCTGAATTGTGAGATAAAAAGCTTTATTTTTGGAAACTTTTTTTTTTTTTTTTTCATATCATGGCTGAAACAAGCTTCCAGTGGAAATGTATGTTTACATTTGAATTAATTTTTGGAGTGTTAAGCACCTTTTTACTGAGCAAATGTAGTTTCAAGCACTATTTTATACACTATTTGTGCATAGTGTAAGCATACTTTTCGCAATATGGTGTCCCACAGACACAGTTTACATAATGTTACTGTCTAAACATTTGATATTAGTAAAATATTTGTATTTAAAACAATAGAAACAAATTGATACAATACAAATTACCATAAATTATTTAAGTGAAAAGTAAATAATTTGTTTAATGTTTGGAGCATCAGTGTTATTTTAGTATAACTCAGATACTGTGAAAGTTTTTATTAATATTATTATTATTTTTTTTTATATTATTTGTATTTATTTAATTTTTATATCTGTATATTTTTATTAAGTTTAATTTCAGTTTTAGTTTAAGTTAAAGTAAATTAAAATGAGAAATGCTTTTAGACATTACATTTATTGTTGCATAATTTCAAACTGAGCAGACATGTTTTTGTGAAATGTGAGGCTGAAGTGTGTGAATAGTTTTCAGGCTCGCGCTCTTCTTCTGACATTCCAGCTCTTTCTTTTGGTCTTTCTGTATATCCCTCTTTCCCTGAATGGACTCCTCTCTCATCCTGTGCTGTTCTTTCTTTCTCTCGTCATCCCTCAACACCCAGATCAGCCTCGCTGCGTTTTTGAAAGATGCCCAGTTCCAGCCTCGACCAACCACGGGGCAAGTTAAATTAGGGCGGGGCCATCTGTGAGAATGACAGAGAGAGAGAGAGAGAGAGAGAGAGAGCAAGAAAAAGAGGAGAAATGAAGATAATTCTTATGTATTCTTGCTTTTGCCCTTCTTCAAGATGGTCCTTTTTGTTCATTATTTTTGATTTTGACTTTTCTTTCTCGTGCATTTCTCTCTCTCTCTCTCACTCTCTCTCTACCATTGTCTCCATCATAATCTCTCAAAGATAACTTTGATGCAATGGGAAAAGACAGGCTTGGAATCTCTTGCTCTTTTGTCAGTGTCAGCTGATTCTGACAGACAGAGAGAAAGAGAATCTCACGTAACCTGACCTTTGACTGACCGGATCAAGTCTGCTACACGTTACAGCATTTTCTGGAAGAACCGCCCACTTAGACAAGAAGAGAACTGATCTGACTGACATGTGAAGTGACCAACCACAGTTTGTTTTGTGTTTAGGGGCGGGGTTATTTAAATTAGATGATGGACCAGCATAAAAACAACATGTTTAAAATAACGTCAGAGAAGTCTTTATGAGTGCTTATTGAACTGTTTATTATCCTCTGACATTTTATTTTAGTATTATTAATGTGCTATAGTATTTATTCATATCTTGTGTTAAAATTTACTTTTATTTTAAAATGTTCTTCTATTTTAGGTTTTATTCATTTGTTTACATGCTTTTGTCAGTGTTTGTAATGTGGTTACATGTCAGATTTATTATTTATGTGCTATTGTAGCATCATATATATATATATATATATATATATATATAGTAGTATTTATTTATATTTATATATATGGCCATCCAAAAACAACAAGTACTTTCTCGCAAAGCAGGCCAGAAAATGCCCCAGAAACTAAGTGAAATTTACAGCTTTTTCAAAGATTTGATGTAACCAACTAAACATTTTCGTTTACATGCTTTTGTCAGTTTTATTTGTTTTGTTTTTAATATTTAATAGCTTTTTTATTTTAGTTTTACTTCAGCTTATACATATTTTATTTCAGTGATCAAAATTTCTGGCCATTGAAAAATAACAAATACTTTCTCTCAAAGAAAGCCAGAAAATGCCACAGAAAACTACGAAGTTTTGATGACTAACTAAACTTCTTCAAGTCCAGTAAGAGGTCTTCACTGAATGAGCCCCAACAGACTGATTAAAAAAACCCTGTGTGCTCTTACTGCCGGACATCAGCCAATCAGATTAGAGCTTGCCAGATCATGAAAGTGCTCTTTGTGTGCTTCAGATGAACGAACTGTAGTCCAGCTGAGACTGAAAATAGACAGAAAGACCAGAGAGCAAAAACTCAGATGGACCGATAAGAAGATGTTCAAAATATGTAACTAGATTTTTACATTTTCTAGAGAAACTGTGAGCTGTTTTTGCATGCAGAATGTGCTGGTGCATTCTGGGTCATGGTTAGCTGGTTACTTACTGGCCCGAGATAAAAGAGCCAAAGTGGGTCTGATATTCACAGTGTTCCCACAGTCACAGAAAGACAGGAGGTAACAGGGAATTTCCAGACAAACCGATGAAATCCTAAATGGAAAATATCAAGTGTGTGTTGTATCTGTGTTAGTAAACACCATTAATAATGAGTGTTTCCTGTGTGTTTTGATCATGACATTGATTGGCTGTAATTAATACCTCAGGACTGTGTTGTGTTTGTGAGAGAGAGAGACCGAAGCAGCTCGCATCCGCACCCGAGGGATTTCACGAGGTTCACAAAGAGGACAGATACAACGGAAAAAAACAAGCTGTTTTCAGAAAGACTTTCATTCATGAGGGCAGAAGGATCCATTCTGATCATGTGTTTATGATGTTTATTGCACTCTTTTATGGAACTGTTGATTTCCGTCCACCAGTGTTATTTTAGTATCATTTATATGCTATTCATGCATTTATTATTCGTATCATTTAAATGATCATTTACTTTATTTTCAGTTTTCGTTTTAAATTGTAGTTTTATTTCAGTTTTACTTTTAGTTTGTTTTAAATTAGTTTTTAATTTTAGTACTTCAACTTAAAAAATAATTTATTTTGTTAGTTATTTGCCAACCCATACGCAAATGTAATATATGTATGCATATACAATTTCAATATATTAATTTGTCAGTTGAAGTAAAAACATATATGGAACATATTAGAAATTTGAATAATTTCTTATATTAACATATACCTAGCCCATATAATTAATATGTTTATGTATGTGTAATATACAGTATATATGCCATGTACACAAATATCCATCCTAAAACCCTTCAATACATGGTGATACTATATAAGTAAATATAAATGACGGACGTGTAAGAAATATATATGTAAATTAATAAAGTTGCATATATGCCATATATTTCTGTATGGGAAAGAAAGCAACATTTCTCTCTTTTTTTTTAGTTAAAGTTATCTAATATTTATATTTTATTTTATTTTGCATATAATTCGATTAGCAACACAGTAACATCCACTCATGTTGCCCATAAACCAAACTCACCCAATGACCGTTTTCCACTGTATCTCTGAATTAAACAATGTACTCCACCTTTAAGACCTCTATATGCAAATGACGTTTGTTATAATCAGCTAACCTCTTTGCAAATGCAATGACCCCGGCCAAGCTGTAAAATACTAAAGTGGTATGATACTGCACGCCAAACATGATATGCAAACACGGGCAAGCAATGTTAATAAGCTCATGGCTGTGACCTCAATTCTGTGGCGATTTTTGACTCATTTTTTAAGCTTATTTTCCATAAATGTGTTTTTTTGTGGGCTAGTTATAAATGCCATCTTCTTATACAAGACCCTTAATAAAGTCCAATAGATCATATGAAGTATATAAGGTAAAGCTGCTACTGTGATGAATGTACAGTAATGTGAAATGGCGTTGAATGATGTTCTGGTGTGTTGTTCTGTGGCAGTGGGTCTGGAGCAGCAGTGTGAGCTGACCTGTCGACCGGTCGGGTATCGTTTCTACGTGCGGCAGGCGGAGAGGGTACGAGATGGAACGCCCTGCGCAAATAACACACCCAACGATGTGTGTGTGGGAGGACGCTGTCTGGTGAGAAAACAGCTAGGCTGACATGCACCAATATGATAGTAACATCAGCACCGGAAAGAGCCATAGCGATTCAATTCTAAGTCTAAATCTGTGAGGACAGCATTACAGATCTTTAGTTCTAGAATCTGGCAGCTTCATGTATTACTGTAATGGTAATAAAGTCACTGTTTCCTCCATGTGTGTGTGTGTGTGTGTGTCAGAGCGAGGGCTGTGATGGTGTGTTGGGCTCAGGGTTGGTTCGGGATCGCTGTGGCGTGTGCGGCGGGGGAGACAGCACCTGCGAGAGGGTCACTGGAAGTTTCCTAAACACGAGTGTCCCGCTGGGCTACCACAGAATCCTGGACATCCCGCCTGGAGCCACGGCCATCAACATCACTGAGAGACGAGCCAGTCCCAACTATCTGGGTACGAACTCTGTCTGGTTTGGAAATATTTTCTGCTGTTTTCTCCTTGAGGAAATGGCTTAATTAAATTAAATACTAAATGTGACCCTGGAGCACAAAAGCAGTCATAAGTAGCACAGGTGTATTTGTAGCAATAGCCAAAAATACATTGTATGGGTCAAAATTATCGATTTTTCTTTTATGCCAAAAATCATTAGGATATTAAGTAAAGATCATGTTCCATGAATATATTTTGTACATTTCCTACCGTTAATATATCAAAACTTAATTTTTGATTAGTAATATGCATTGCTAAGAACTTAATTTGGACAACGTGATTTATGATTTTCTCAATATTTAGATTTTTTTTGCACCCTCAGATTCCAGATTTTCAAATAGTTGGCCAAATATTGTCCTATCCTAACAAACCATACATCAATGAAGCTTATTTATTCAGCTTTCAGATGATGAATAAATCTCAATTTCAAAAAATCGACCCTTATGACTGGTTTTGTGGCCCAGGGTCACAAATAATGTCTTAATGAAAATGCAGAACTGCCTAAAGCTTTGTGTGAGGGTTAAGTTATGGGTCAGAAAATGTCATTAGCTCTGTGTTAAACGTAAAGTCCCCACCATGAGAGAAACACAAACATGGTGTATGTGTGTGGTCATTTTTGTTTTGTTTGTCTTTCCTTATGGTGACCAAATGTCCCTACAATAATGAAACCTGAGAAACGTTCATTATGCCAACTTAACTAGTGGAAAACAGCTTCATAAATGAACTAAATTATATCTTATTTCATACATTTTTGGAATATTTTCCTACAAAATCAAATGCATGAACTATGTGATCACTGAGACTGTGGTTTGCCTTTGCAGGGCAGAATAGTTCACTCAGAAATGAAAATGTATTTACTCACCCTCACATAGCTCTGGCGACAGTGAATGGGGTCTGTCAAGATACAAAAATAGTGTAAAAATTACCATATAAATGCATGAAGCTATTGTATTGTACACTGAAAACACTTTAATTTGTTGCAGCCAAATATATTTGTTTTTCTTCAATTATATTTATGGTTTGGTAGAAACTTGACATTTTGATTTAATGTTAATCAAAAACATTTTTTTTTCCCAAAAGATGAAAATGATTATATATCAAGATATTTTCTTTAGACACAAGCCAGAATGTTACTTAATGTAGGTCAGTATAATATAATATTTCTTTTGCCGTTTTACAACTTAATTTCACTAAAAGCAAGAGCTAAATAGTCTATAAGAAAGTAGAATTTTCACTTTAGGTAAAATTAAAAAACATTTAGTTAGTCAATGTTTAATTTAGTTTACTCACAGGAATGTCCACTTTAAAAGACCATTATGTTTATTACAATGTCATTTTAAAATCTATCTTTTTCTGTTATGTACTAAAAATAAATAAATAAATAATTTCTGCAGCCAGTCTGTGTTCCGCCCATCAACATTCAAAAAACTATTCAAACTAAATTTTGTTTCTATGGATTTTTATTTGCTTTTAACCAAATTAAAACAAAACCGAATGCAAATAAATGACACGGTAATTTCACGTTTTCAGTGTAGGTTTTTGTCATTTTGGTAGCTTGACATCCCTAGTCCCCATTCACCTTTGGAAGTAAAAGAGCAGCGTGAACATTCTGCTAAACTCCTTTTCTTTTCTTTTTTTTGACTAAAGAGTTCGCATCATAGGGTGAGTAAATGATGACTGAATTTAGTTGGATTAGTTTTTTTAGGAATTATGATTATCGTAATTTAAAGCAATGAAAGTTGATGGAAGTTCTTCCTGACATTCATGAGCGTGTGAATGCGTGTGTGACTGTGAATGCATGAACTGGCTTACATCACGTATCGGGATATGTTTCTACCTGCTAATGTGAGATTAGTGAGACTTGGTCATTGTTCCTCGGCTGAAACTCAGCTCAGAGTTCAGACCTCCAGCCAAATGTTCAGCTCATAAACAACAGCGATCACCAGCAGAGAGGTATTTTTTTAATTCTTCACAGCTGCTGTTGATCACTTCAGAAGATCTAGAGCGTGCAAGTCTAAATTCAGATTATATTGTCCCATTGTATGAGCCTGCGGTGCGTTTGGGGCAGCGATGAGTCAATGTCCTGAGAGGGATGCTGAAATTACGTTCATATTAATATTAGCCTGAACATGACTCAGGAATGCACATATTCACGGCTGAGGATGCGTGGGGTTGGGAAGATCTCTCTGGGCTGGATTAGCTAATGCAGGCTTGTTTTCATAAGTGAATATGACCCTGAGTCAGACTCGTGGACATGTCTGTGTTTGTTTCTCCGTCCGTTTCTCTCTAGTATGGTGTGATTGTGCCCCGGAGGCAGACTGCTGTAGTAGACTAAACACTCACCGGGTTACGTGATGATGTATCCAAATAATCAGTGTTGTTATATTTTTCTTGATTTTCATATCCATGTATTCATTTATGATTTATTACTTATTGTGTTTATGCTTATATTAATCCTCATCATATATTTATATGCAAATACTGTTACTCATCTATATTTATCTTTTATTTTTGTTTGATGTATGGTCATATGTAATATTCGTAGTAGTCTCCAAAAAATATGTATGTTATGCACGTTTTGTATGAAAGATATATCTTCTTTACTGGTGTTTTGTTAGATATTGGACATCTTTCAACTACTGCCTGAGTTAATGATGTTTCTCAGAATTAGTCATTAACAGTACTCCTTTCTAGAAACTGTTTTTGTAATATGTAAAATATGATTATTTAAAAGTACAGTAATTATCAGTATTGATCTAGTTCAGGTGTCACTAGTTCGAGTAGTCAAGCTAGTTTAAGTATCCATACTTCTCTAGTTTGAATGTCAGTGGTTTGGGTAGTCATAGTAGTGTAATTATCAGTGTTTGTGTCCAGTGATTGCTAGTTTAATTATGAGTATTTAAGTATTTGTCAAGTTTCTGTGTCAGTAGTTTGGGTAGTTTGAGTGTCAATATTTGTCTAGTTTGGGTATCACTAGTTTAATGATAATTTTTTAGGTATCAGTAATGGACTAGTTTGGGTGTCAGTAGTTTTGGTAGTCATACTACTTTGGTTATCAGTGTTTGTCTAGTATAATTAACTGTAATTAAGTCGTGATACTAGTTTAACTATCAGTATTAGTCTTGTTTAGGTGTCAGTAGTTTGTCTACTTTGCGTATCACTAGTTGAACGATACTTGTTTAAGCATCAGTACTGGACTAATTTGGGTGTCAATAGTTTTGGTAATCATACAACTTTGGGCAATTACAATTTAAGTCATGATATACTAGTTAAAGGGGTCATATGATGCGATTTCAATGTTTCCTTTCTCTTTGAAGTGTTACAAGCTCTTGGTGCATAAAGAAGATCTGTAAAGTTGCAAAGACTAAAGTCTCAAATCCAAAGAGATATTCTTTATAAAAGTTCAGAGTCAGCCACGCCTACCTAAAACGCCTCGTTCTAACACGCCCCCACATGTCTACATCACTATGTGGGAAGATTTGCATAACGCCGCCCAAATGTTAACGCAAAGAAAGAAGGCATAACTTTTATTCTCACTGTAGTATTGTTGCTGCCGCCGCCGCGTAAATAATGTTCTTTTTAGCAACATCATATGACCCCTTTAAACTAATTTTTGGTATAGTTTAGGTGTCAGTGGTTTAGGTAGCCATACTAGTTTAAGTATCAGTATTTATCTAGTTTAGGTATCAATAGTTCAGTTATACTAGTTTAAGTATCAGTGTTAGTATAGTTTAGGTATCACTTGTTTAATGATACACATGATTAATGATACTAGTAATTATCAGTGTTTGTCTAGCTTATTTATCAATATCAATTTCAATCTGTATTGGTCTAGTTTAGGTGTTAGGCATACTAGTTTGTGTCAGTATTTGTCTAGTTTAGGTATCACTACTGGTCTAGTTTAAGTGTCAGTAGATTGGCTAGTCATACTTCTTTACTTATCAGCGTTTGTCTGGTTTATTTAATCAGTATTGGTCTTGTTTAGGTGTCAGTGGTTTGAGTAGTCATACTAGTTTAAGTATTAGTATTGTCTTGTTTAGATGTCAGTAGGAGTCATTTGTAATTTAATTGGTGTGTTGTGAATAGCACAGCTTTGATCATTTGGTCTCAGAAGAATTTGATGAATAATGATGCATTCATATTGAGATCTGTCACCTTTGATTGCCATCGTTGTTATCTTGGCAAATCAGAGCACAATTTGAGATCTACATTTACTCTCAACATAATATGAGGAGAAATATTTGAGATATGACAGAGATCTCATTATTAGGGATCTGTTTCATGGGGAGACGCATGAGAGCCGTACACATTTGCTTAATTTTAGTTTTCTGATGTCTGTGCTATATCCTTTCCTTTTCATTCCTTTTTCTTTGACACTTTGTCTATGAACTCCTCTTGGAGGAGAATTCCTAGTTTCATGTGATGTGTGATTATGGTAGGAAACTCATAAAAATCATCACAAGCAGAATAGAGATCTGTAATTACAGACAGCTAAAAACAGCCTTCCACACGTTCCATAACAAATAATGACTGTCAGATGAATCTCAAAACATCTTTCAGGAACATATCTAGCTCTGTATGTTGTGAATGTGAGTACCTCATGTCATTATTGCATGTGTTTGTGTCTGCAGCCCTGCGCAGTGGAACAGGTCAGTCTGTGGTGAACGGACGCTGGGCGGTCGATCCTCCGGGAGAGTATCAGGCAGGAGGAACCACCTTCATGTACAGCCGACCCAAAGCTGGGCCTCAAGAGCAGGGAGAAGAGAGAGGAGAAACCCTCAGCGCTCCTGGACCCACAACAGCCCAGCTGCAGCTATACGTAAGCACACACACACACACACACACACACATGTTCATGTAGTAGAGAATTTTGGAAAAAGTCTGGCTTGTGTGTGATGGAGCACAAACTCTGAACTGGGAGGTTTTACTGCAGAAAAGGACGGAAGGGATGAGCCGCAATTCTGTTTATACATGCCTATTGTGTTTATTCATGATGATATTTTATGAATATAACACTTCTCCTAAATCATGTTAGGAGCTCTCTCATTTTCCAGTAACGGCTCATATCAGGAAACAGTATGAGACGATACAATAAAGTATTTTAAAGTAATAGAAATACACACATTATCAGTATTTAAGTAGTGATACAGTAGTTAAATATCAGTATTGGTCAAGTATCAGTAGTTTAGGTAGTCATACTAGTTAAAGTGTCAATATTTGTCCAGTTTGGATATCACTAGTTTAATGATACTAGTTTAGCTATCAGAATTGGAGTATTGTAATTATCAGTGTTTAGTTTAACTATCAGTATTTAAATAGTGATGCTAGTTTAATTATCAGTATTTTTCTAGTTTGGGTGTCAGTAGTTTTGGTAGTCATACTAGTTTAGGTATCAGTGTTTGACTAGTTGAATTATCAATATTTAAGTTGTGATACTAGTTTTAAGTATCAGTATTGGTATAGTTTGGTATAGTTTAGACATCACAAGTTTAATGATAATAGTTATGTTTCAGTATTGGTCTAGTTTAGTTGTCAGTGGTCTGGGTAGTCATACTAGTTTAAGTATCAGTACTGGTCTAGTTTAGGTGTCAGTGGTTTGGTTAGTTATACTAGTTTAAGTATCGCTATTGGTCAAGTTTAGGTATTCTAGTTTAATGATACTAGTTTACATTTCATTATTGGTCTAGTTTAGGCATCAGGTTTGGGTAGTTATACTAGTTTAAGTTTCAGTATTAGTGTACAGTATACTATAGGTCTTGGTGGTTTGGGTAGTCATACTAGTTTAAGAATAAGTATTGCTCTAGTTTAGTTATCACTGGATTTGTAGCCATACTAGTTTAAGTACTGTATAAGTATTGGTCTAGTTTAGGTATCACTGGATTTGTAGCCATACTAGTTTAAGTACTGTATAAGTATTGGTCTAGTTTAGGTATCACTGGATTTGTAGCCATACTAGTTTAAGTACTGTATAAGTATTGGTCTAGTTAGGTATCAGTGGTTTGGGTAGTAACACTAGTTTAAGTATTGGTCTAGTTTGGGTATCTCTAGTTTAATGATACTAGTTTATTTTTCAGTATTGGTCTAGTTTAGGTGTCAGTCGTTTGGGTAGTCATACTAATTTAAGTTTCAGTATTGGTCTAGTATAGGTGTTGGTGGTGTGGGTAGTCATACTAGGACACAAAAGTAGTTTAAATCAACAGAAAATGGGTGGTTTTATTGAAGTCTCAAACAGTGCAAAGTGCGATCCATGAATGAAGTCTGGGGCAAAATAGTGTCCGTGCAGTGTGAGACCCGCTGATCCGTCACTTGCTCGAGCCTCGGGAAAACAGAGGTAGAAAACACCATAAGCGGGTGAAGTGGAGAGTTTACTTTCTTTCTCTACTTCTGCTTATATCTCCTCTTCTTAATGAAGCTCAGGTGTGTTCGATCAGCACGTGTAGCCAGAAAGTTTTGCCCAAAGCTGTAGGTTTTAACTGAATGAGCAGCTTAAATGCACATTTAGTCTTTCATTAGATGCTTAATGCTGCCAACAGACTAACAGCAATACTTCACAGGATTAAACTTTGCAGTAATTTTGAATCCTAAAATATTTTTAGCATTGTTTAATGTTATCATAATTCAGTGCGTCTGTTCTTATTATATTTGCTTGAGAAAAAATGCAAATTTGTATTCTTTATTTTTCTGTTGCGGAGACATTTCTGTTGTGTTCTGGTTTCATATTAACAGAGCATTTAGTTACAGCATAGTTACAACTACATGGCAGTTTCTTAAATATTTTAGATTGTGCATCAAATAGTTTATATTTTGCAATAGTTAAGTATTTTGATGATATTACTTCTACTTGACTTTATTTATATATGTGACCTTGAAGGAATCCAAAAAAAATCAAATTATATTAATTTCATATTGTGGTGCTTGGATTACGTTACTGAATACTTTTTTCATTAAGTCATTTGTAACTGTAACGGAATACATTTTTAAAGTAACCCTTCCAAGCCTGAGTATCAGTATTGTTTAGGTATCTCTGGTTTAATGATACCAGTTTAGACTTCAGTATTGGTCTAGTTTAGGTGTCATCAATTTGGTTTTAGAAGAATTTCATGAATAATGGTGAGTTCATGTTCATGTACTCCAGCTTTAATTTCATGCAGATTTTAGGAAAAAGAGTGTCCACATACTGCGGTGTGTGTGTGTGTGTGTGTGTGTGTGTGTGTGTGTGTGTGTGTGTGTTCTGAGTGTCTGTGCATCAGTGAAATACGGCTGATGCTGACTGGAATGCAGTCATGGAGTGAGACGTTACCATATGCTGGAGTTTATTAACCTGTTTTTTTGCTTGGAGAAACGGAGGGACGGAGAGAGAGAAGTACACCGAGAGAGGGAGCGAGGACAGGCTGCGCTCCGAGAAATCAGTGAGTTATTCAACAGTCTCCTTGTCACACAGAGTCTCTCTCTCTCTCTCCCTCCATCTCAGTTTCTATTTTTCTCTCCTGATGATCTTCTCTTTCACTCTAAATTTATAGTGTTTATATGTGTGTGCCGTGCAGATATATTTCACTTGAGCAGTCTTCTCTTATTTCTCTCATCACTTATTGGCCACCGCTGAAACCTTTTAAGGTCATTGCAGGAGAACGGGATTGCGACTGTGTGTGTGTGAGAGTGTGTGTGTG